GTCATTTAATATGGGTTTAAGGTAACGTCCTACGAATCCTTAAGACTATCTTGGAGGCCTTGAATGGTTGAAATAAAAGCACGTATGGATCATCATTATCTTTTCACAACCAGATTGAAACAAAGGCCGGTGGGAAATGCCGCCAGCCACTTTCTACCGGGTCAGTCTTACTCTGTTGCTGAAATAACCAAACCTACTATTACACATATTAAATACCCAAGCCTGAAAATCAAAAAGATAACTGCTATCACTTTTACCAAGTCCTTCATGTGTGTTAGTACTGAGCTGACTGAAGGCTGCTCTGAAAAGCAAACTTTTCTGATTTGCAGCTAGGGTTTTTGAAGAAGCCTAAGGGATTTGGCTCACAGAAATACAAAACTTCCTGCTCAATGGAAAGCAGTGGAGTTGGCCAAGGTTTCACGTGGCCAGCTCCTGAAGCTTTGGGATCTGGGAAGACAACGAGGAGGCTGCGATATCCAGTGGCAAGCTGGCAGTTCTCTGACAGCTGGGATGAAAGAGAACTAGAGAAATCAACAGAAAGTTGGTCCTCGTTGCCTGGCCACAATAAAAGTCTGGATCTTGTTTTCTTTTTATCTGGGAAGTCAAAGCTGAGATCTCACGGTATCAGCATTTCTCAGCCTTGCTGTGCAGAAGGCGCCCAGTTTATTCAAAGTTTTGTTGCAGCACAATTGTGTCAAACTTTTGCAAAGTTTCAGCATCTTCTTTACCCTTCATCTCCCCCTTTGGTCACGTTTAGAATATCCCAGTTTGATCCACTGACTTCACTACTCTGTTCACTATAATCGTAGCTAAGAGTGATGGAGACTTCATTAGTATTGCAATTAGTGCTGTAGGAGATGGACAGAAGGTGAATCCACATTAGTTGGTCCTTTTGAAGGTGCTGCAGGATCATTGTTAATATGCCATTAAACAACTGTACATGCGTTGTGCACTGAAGCCAATACCTAGGAAAGTCAATTTGTAACACACGAATGCACATTCCTGTATCTCTAGGCTTAGTAATAACGAAGGCTTAACAACAGAGATATAGAGGGACTTTCTTGTGTTAACACTTGCTACCATGAAGGCATTGTTACAATTCTCTGCTTGCAGAGAACACAAAAAATGAAGAGCACAAAAAAATGAAGACATAATTTCAATTCTAAAAAACCCTTGAATATCAGAAAATGAAAATACAAATATTACTACTCAATGTCCAAATGTCATCGAAGAAAGAATTGGACAAATCTGAAAATAAACTGTCATTTGAGCTATTTCTATTAGCCCCAAGGTTTAACATTACCATACAAACAGGTTTGCATAATGCCAAGACTGACTTTGGACATAATTCATTAAATCACGTATGTAGATGTTCTGCATTTTGCCACATTCCCTTTCTGTGTAATACTGATTGATCACAGAAGTGTTACATGGCTATCATGCGGAATGGGCAGGGAATTTAAACGAGCAAAGCATTACACACAGAGGACAAATGTGTGCATATGGAAATACACCCCTCTCCCGCTGAAAGGGATTTTGATCAAAATTGGCTTTCAGTTGGAGTCCTATTCAGCAAGGACTAGCCAGTGTGTTTGGAAAAATAACACTTGCACATTCAAAGGAAGATGTGCAACTTGCTTGTTTGGTACAAACTGTGGGTCCCTGCTCTGAATTCTCCTTTTCACCAAATGTAAGATCTGTGAAGTTATTCTCTTCTAACAATATATAATATTCATCACAGGCTCCAAGTGCCTGCCACTTCAGAACCAGAAAAGCCACTAAGCAGGACGCTGGTCTTAGCAGCACTACTACAGCATCAGCTTAGAGCAAGCTCTGATCCCTGATGCAAAGAGTCTTGCTTTCCACGGTTTTTCTTCACAACTACAGGACTTTGTAAGTCAGACACAGTGTCCCATATATAACTTATTTATCTGTGTCTGTGTATTAACAGCTATGGTAGAGGTTGTCATTTAGGTCCAAAACTTGACACTGCCCCCAGAAGATGTTCCAAGCACGGCAGCTCAGCCTTTGATGACTTCAAACACATACAGTATTTACTCGCAGCATACTGTCACACGTTTTATTTATGCTGGCCTTGACTCTGAAGTCCTTACTCAGCATTAGCACTTCGTGGAAGTTTTGCCTGAGAAAGGACTGCAGGATCAGCCTCTTCAGTTCTACATTGTATGTTTTAACAGCAGCCCTGGGATTGCCAGCTTGCTACAAAACTTTGTGTAGATGCTTTTTGTCTTTCAGAAAATAAACACATAAATTTTGTTTTGAAATATTTTAAACCTAGCACATAATATAAATAGATATATCACTAGCCATTTGTTTTCTTTCCCTTTTTTTTTTCTAAAGCAAAATAATTTGCACCTTACATTTTAAATGAGAAGTGGCAGATTTTCTTCTAACCACAAAAGAAAGGATTGTTGCCACCTTCTGCTTGGTCTAGTTAATAATGAAAACTTACCAACAAAGCACTTCTTAAAAACATTCCTGCTTAAGAATAAAAAAAGTATCAAATTTAAAAACCAAGTTATCTGCATGCATGTGTGTGGGTGCACCCTTATACATATGCTTATGTGCAAGACAGACTGAAGACTTTGCGACTACCCTGGTAGTCTTACTGAGAACAATCACTGACTAGGATTGTTAATGAATTTTATTGTGTGCCCTATATATGATGTTCTTCATTTAATCTGCAGGGCTTGAACTATGCAGTTGCCACTTCATCAGTGTGAGTAAAGCCCTGGATTTCACAGTGAGGATTGGAGGTCCCCACAAAATTTGAACTTTACGAAGGAATGTTAGATTAAAAACAAGCACTGTTTAAAAAACCCCTACTGAATAAGTAATAACACTGTGTTTCTATTATATAAACCTGTTGGCAACCCTGCTTTTAAACACGCTTGCCTCTAGAGCTGGTTGAAAAGCTGGAACATTATCTTGACTGAAATATTTCAACCAGCTCTCATTGCTACAAGCTTTCCTAAAACTACAGCTCTCATGACTGTCAAAATCAAGACAAAAAAAGAAAGGGAGGTGTGAGGGGAGGAAGGCCTTTTCTTAATAAAGGCAGCTTCAGTTAGTAAGATAACATAATCTTCAAGCTGCAAAAGCAGCACCTACTAATTAGTCATTGACTAAAACATAAATAATAAATACCTAAATTGTTCCTTCTATGCATCCATTTTTGTGCCAGATAAACATTTCAATGGTCTGCCTTAATGCCAGCACAGCTGACACTGCAATTTCAAGTCCAAAGCAAACTGCAAATAGCTTTAAACCGGTACTACGGGGAGAGATACTACAAGCCACTGGGATCTGTGTGTTATGGTCATCTTGCAACTGTTGTTTAAAAGGGAATTCAACCTTTCTGTGAGATGCGATTACAGAATGATTTAAGGGTCTATTTCCCTACTGATGTGGACGCTTAACTCTCATCAGCAGAAAGTTAGCCATACACACAGAAGGGTAAAGAGATACCTTATTTTATTACATCAATAGGATTTTTTCCCCCTAATTAACCCAAGAGCTTTTAATAGCCTTTTTGGGTTATGTTGTTAACAAGAGATTACCACAGCAACAACAACAAAGTGCATGTTTTATGCTAATGTAAAATACATCAGTTGGAGATGAATCTGCATATAAAACCTGTATTTTTAAAAGTTCTTGGAATGTAAATGAATTTTTTCCCTACTGTAGAAAATGCAGCTTAAAATGATGTGAAACATGCCTATTTAAAACAGGATGCAGCCTGCTAGAAACTCTGAAGACAGGCAAGGGCAGTTTGTTGACAGAATAAAGTAAAAGCACTGAGAAACATGGCATTGCTCTCCTTCACATTCAGCTCGTGGCTTTGGTCAGGAACCCATGTCCTGCACAGCCTTCCAGATGCCCTGCACAAGCCTAGAAAGACTCCTCTTCATGAAGAGCTGGCAGATAGGAGATTAAGGGAGGGAATTAGTGTTAAGACTTACTAGCCACTACTCAAACTAGGGAAGAAATGTGTTGCTGCAGATTGAAGTCCCAATTTTACCATTATACTGGTTCCATGCAATCCCACTGCCTGAGAAAAAAACTCAGCTCGGCTCATGAGCAAAATCAGCAAAGGGTGCGAGCAGACACATCACAATCCAACGCCAACCTACACATACGCAATTGCTGTACTGGAAGTCTGCGAAAATGCTTAGGTGCTGGTGGATTTAGAAAAAAACCTGCAGATTTGAAAGGGCTGAAATCCAAAATGCCTCCTAGTTCTTTAAACTAATACTCCTAGCACTCAGACCCTGAACCTGACTGCATGAGACACAGAAGACTAATATAGCAAAACACTGGTTCCATTTAGAGTTTATCATGAAATTAGCCTAAAAAATCTCTGGAAATAATCTGAAAGTTTCTGCTTTTGCTCGTTTTCTCTAACTAGGATAACAACAGACATTAGCTGAGTCCAGCTGTGTTATTAAAAAAAAAAAAGTGAGGGTGTACCATAATTATTTCATGTTCTGTGAGGTAATGCGGCCATACAGGCTCTAGCCTGGAATAACCAACCTCCCCAGGAAGCCTAAGCAGAAGGGAATTTTGCTGTGATTTATTCATGGTAGCAAAATAATGAAAGCCTATGAAACAGCAGAGGTACAGACAAATTTATTTTTAAAAAACACTTTTAGCAGCTGCTCCTTCACTGCCCTCTCCAGGGCTTGCTGCTACTGTTTCGAAACCCGCAGAGGCAGCTTGTGCAGTACATGTGGTACAGCTGGGGACGCACGGACAGCAGAGGCTGCGGGATGACCAGAGCTGCTCCTGACAGAGCTGATGGAGAGGGCAGTGCCAAAGGCCTTGTCAGAACTTTTTTTTTTTTTAAATGAATTATATTGCAATAAGTAACAAAAAACTATAATGTTCCCTTAGGTTTCTGAACTCTGGGGCGAAGTTCACATATGAGCAAGGTTAAATTCCCTTTTAAAAACCTATGCCGGAGGAGAGCATACCAGATGCTACCTCAAGCGACCGTCGGGTTTGACGGGGCCCAGCTCAGATTTGGGGTCCGGGCTCAGGGAGCTCCACGCTGTCTGAGCGCAGCCCTGCATGACTGGGCAGGCGGTGGGGCCGGCACTGCAGATGTCCATGGCCGACCAGACGCTGCCAACCAGAGAGTCCACCCAGGCTTCCAGCCGGGCGCCCACGAGCCCCGCGTTCCTCTTGGCCTGCTCCACACGGGCGGCACTGATGGGGATGTTCAGGACGGGGTTCAAGCCCTGGAAGCTCTGCTCCATGTACGCGTTCTTTGGAGGCCCGCTGTGATACTTCACGGCTTCCTCTGGAAATGCAGAAATAAACCCAAAAGTTAGTGCATTAAAAAAACCCAACCCAAACCTTCAGGATCTAAGGGTACAGCAAACAAACAGCAAAAGTTAGTGGTGTGCTACAGTCCATTCCCCCAGCACTGAGGACACGCTGCATCCCAAGGACAACTGGCTGTGCTCAGCTCTTCAGCTCCTCACGCTCACCACTACGAGCTCCGCTCACCGTGCTGCTAACCCCGCAAGCACTGCGTTAGCAGGGTGAAGCACTGAGGCTGAAAGTAGCGTCGTCCTTATTATCATCACGTACCACTGGCGTCCCCAGAGCTGTAGGGCGCCCAGGCACGACAGAGCTGTTCTGCACAGCACAACAAAAAGGCAGGCCCAGCCGCGAGGGCGTCCCAGCTACGAGCTCCTGCCTGTACCTGGAGCCTGATCAATGTGCAGCTCCTCCTCAGGAGAAACCCATTTTGCATTCAGAAGCTAATTATGCCTCTTTCACGGCAGAAGAAGCCTGGGAGATAAGCCCCGTACAGCTGAAGATACCCCTGTGGACACTCAGAGAAGGCTGTGCTTTGAAATTAGGAAACAGTTCAAGGACGCTTGGTGCGAGAAGGCTGCTGACCCTCGTCAGACCTTCAAGTGCTATCATTGATTTGTCTAGGAGGAAGAGCCAAGATCTCAGCCTGTTTTTTTCCTAAACTGATGAACCTTGCCGTGCTGTGGAGAAGTCATAACATTTGTTAGCTCAATCTGCCTCCAAAAACTGGTGGTGCCATTCCTGGCACTGGAAGCACAACACCATGGCCTTGGACAGACCGGACCCACGATGAAACACGTGTAGCCTCAGCATCATCCCTGGAAGTGCTCCAGTCTCGCTGGGAAAGTATTCTCTCATTACAATTATATTTCAAGCTCTTGTACCGAATAATGGATCACGACCATTTCCTAATGACGCTTTTCTTTGCACTGTGGTTGCTCTCCTTACAGTAACTCTTCTATCTCAGAAAAATGCAGTACATTGCCACAAATCTCTAATATTGCAGTAAAAAATCATTGTCAGGCTGTGACAATGCCTTCAAAGACCTTGAATTGGACACTGTGGGTCAGACCACCCTTGTCTAAGGCTGGCTGATTGCTTAAGTTCTGTGAGCGCACCAAGGTGCTGGTCATAAAATCAGAATGGGACCCTCCAAAAATGCTGAGTGCTTCTTGGGAGTAAATTTTCAGCCATTTCTTTCTGTTCTCAGCTGACTTCCCTAGCATCCTCGCTCCGGCAGCACAGAGGATCTGTTTAGCTCTGCCAACATACACACTGTCTAGAACACAAAATGGGCCCATTCAGGGCGCCCCAGGGTAGGAAAGCCACTGCGCTCAGATAGTGTTTAGAGGCCAGGAATTACATATTCACGGCTACAATTCTTTCCACATGTCCTCGCTGCTTGCACTGCAGCCTGACACTGAGTCCTTTCTTCCATGCAGAGGACAGTATCTCAGGCACTGGCAATAAATCAGTACATTTATTTAGAGGGAAAAGGGACATTTAATTGGAACTTTACTGTTACATTTGCGAAGTCTTTAATGTTAAATACTGTGTTAGTCCATTACTTCAAATACCCTATTAAATTAGTTCGGCACATCCCCATCACCATTATACATCACTTAACTGTTCCTGCATTTATCTAACCCCCTCTTTTTATTTTATGTGGTAGATATCCACAATAACCTCTAGTCAAAATGAGTTTATTCCATGCACACATATGTCAGAAGTGTGCTCTGCCAAAGCACTGCAGTTTAAGAAACAGAACAAGTACACATGATTAAATTTCCTCCTTTGGAAGCAATTAAATATGGAAGACTGTTTGTCAACATATTAATTAAATAGGAACATTCTAAATAAAAATCCCCAAACAAATAAGAGTTGGCATTACTAGCAGGATCATCTGATTGAAACAGGCAATTCAGAAAGCTTGTTGAATTAAAGTCTGTTGTGCATGTGTTTAGTGCATGGAACAAGAGAGATCTTTTTTCAGACAAATAACAGGATGAAATGGAACTTGTTCTTCTCTCTGGCTCAGCCTCACACTTGTTCCAGGCTTCAGGACTTGGTGGATTATCAGGACTGGAAGGAATGAAATCTACAGAAACTGTAGGACCCAGTGCTTGGCAATGCAGCAGATCATCTTTATGCGTGACCCTTGTTCCTTAAGGTCAGTAGGCTGCTTTTGCTAAAGTAAAGGTGATAACCTCAGCATCTTCAACACATTTACATTTCTCCACTCTGCTATTGCTGTAATTGTATCGGACATGCTGTGCTTTTCACACCAGCACACTGCTGTTTTGTGCAGCAGCACTGACTGACTGCCACGCTCTGCTCCCAAACTGGCTGCGCTGCAAGGGCGTGCTGGCAGGTACAACAGTAGTAGCGTATAGTGGGACTGAAGAGAAACTTTTTTAAAAAGCCACACACAAACATCAGCAGATAGGAGAAAAAAAGACTGCTGAGGACAGTATTAAAGGGAACAAACCACTATGTTTTTCGGTGTGTTAAGGGCTACTACTGCGCGCAGTGAAAACGTGCTTCTCTGAGGTGACACATGATGAAACCCTGACATGGTACTGGTAGGGGATTGTCTGGCCCCACAGCAGAACGAACACCCCAAGTTAGGTGTCTGCACGTCCTATAAAGAGCTGGGTGACAGCAATCTGACTGCAGAGCTACGTATCTCAATCAATAGAAAACGCTGATGATTCAACCAGAACCCTCTCCTGGATCCTCCAAGTCTTTGTTAAAAAGTTCACACAAGAAAGTAAGGAGGATGCTGCTCATCCAAGCTATGGCAGATGTAGGCTATTCCTCTTTGCCTTAAAGGAAGAATGACAGAGTGCCGTGTCTCTACAGGAGACGTGACTCTATAACTTACTGGGCTGGGATAGGAGAGGGGCAGTGTGGATCCCAAGCCCTGAAATACTGTATAAAAGGAGGCTGGAGCTACTGGGCATGCTTTTAAAGCACTGACACTTCAGTCCTTGCTCATGAAAAAATAAAGAACGTAAGGCTTGCCCCTACGAGATGTGTGTTTAGACATGTAAATCTGTACACTTAGAGCAACCAGTTCAAAATTAGCTGAATTGCAGACATTAAGCCAGATTTCTTTGCCAGCAAACACATCCAAATAGCCCTTTGACTTCAGGAGGACACGTATCAATGCAAAATATACTCCATTGACTCTAAATTATGGCTTTAAAAAAATGAGTTATTTTTGTCCCCCATTTTTGTTTGCTTTTCACTCTGGGAAGGCACTTCATTTCTCAACAGACTTTTCTTGATATAACTTCTTTGGACTAAATACACAGCCTACAGTCAGCCACATAGCCTTGGATTTCAGCATTTTTGTGTGGGTTTGTTCTTCATTTTGCAGAAAAAGCAAATGAGTTTAGACAGAGTGGGCTAAGGAATGAAAAATGTGGTTACCTTGGTACACATTAAGGCGCTAGACCTGTGGTTTTTTTAAAGCAACACAGAATGTACAGCTTTATTTCTTTACTTGAATTGTGTTGAAACCCTCTGGCAAAGAGGTAATTTTTTATTGACATTTTGTTTGTTTTCTCTTGCAGCAAACAAGACAGTGCTGCATTTGCTCATTGTGAAGCTAATCGACTCCTTGTCAACTGGATCTGAACTAAATTTCAAAGCAAATCCCTGTCTTCAGGGTTTTTCTTGGAATGAGGATTCCAGGGCATGTCTACTCTTCTGCAGTCATGCACTTGTGTGCTGCTATTACTGCATTTATCAAGAACACGTCATGTTAATTCTGGTTAATTTAAAGAAATCACAGCAGCTCTGACACAAGTTGCCACCCACTTTATAATCCGTATAGATGCAATTAGAATTGATTGAGCCACTGCAAACAACCAATGGCAAAACAAAGGTTTCCCAGTATATACTTAATTAAGATGATCTATAAATATGGATTAGGTTAAAAGGCCTTTGAGATGCATGCGTGCATCACAGTATGTCTGCTAATGCTGTCAAGCCTTTGAAAGAAGTGGCTGCAGTTAGAGGGCACAGGGACCAGGAGCTGGCGTTTAAGGCTCCCAGTCCCTGGAGCAGCAGAGATCAGAAGCCAGCCCCATGTCTGGGGCATTTGATCAAGCTAGGAACCAAACATGAAAGGTCTCTCTTAAGGCAAAGAAGGAGGATGCTCTTCTTCACTGCCCTCCTTGTTTGAAGGAAGAATGGTTTTATTTATTTATTTTCAATCCAGTGTTTAGTATCAGCTTGAGGTTTGGGGCTTTTTCTGCCGCAGAAGTGAATCTGCCCACTGGCTCACAGTAACCTATTTAGCTTTAATGAAACAGGTACTATACATTAAATGCGTGACAACTCATTATAGTCACTCCAGCTGGGAGATCGCTGTGGAAACTTTGCCATGAATATAAACTCAAATTTAAAAAAGAAATTGCTTTGGCTTTTTCTCTGCCCCTCTCAGTGCCCCTGGGAGACATGTGTGATCACACTTGGCATGACTGCTTCACACGGACTTTGTAAAGCGCAGAAGTGCGGGTAAGTGGGATGATGTGGACGCAGAGCCAACCTCTACTGAATTCACTGTTTTCTTAGGAATTGAAATCTACTTGGTAGCTTGGATTGTAGTCTGTGAACTGCTGGCTAAATGCTCTGAATTATACCTGTTGTTTGGCTCTGCCTCTCCAGTCCCTACACGTGGGACCTGGACATCTGGCTTCGAGTCTCCAAACTGTGCTTAAATTCAGGCTGCCTAAAGCAGGCAGCAAGAAACCCCCATTTCTGTCTGTTATCACGGCTAGTGATCTTCTTTCTACTGATCTTCTCCCTGTTTTGTCTCCTCTACGTTACATTCCCTCTCTGTCTTGGCACAATTTAATCCCAGGGCATCCTGCTGGTCCTTGGCAGCCCTCCCGTGTCCTTACAATGAGCACAGAGTACTCGGCTTTAACACACTCAGCCATATGGTGAGAAACTCAAAATCACCATTTAGAAGAAGAATAAAACAGAATCTGGCTGTGCAGGATGTAGGGGGAAGGAGACACTGGTGGAGCAAGTGAACCTGATTTCTCCGAATGATTTATCTCACAAATTCACTTAATCTTCCCTTTCTTTTCTTTTTTTCTTTCTCCAACCAGGCAAACACTTGAAGGCACTCTCAAGCCAGAAGATCTACTGAAGGCAGACCTGATCAATGACACAACTCAAAACTAGAGAAAATAGACACAGATTTGGATGGTTAAACCACGACACAGAGGGGCAAGAGGAGCAAGAAAGGATAAAAAACATTAGATTCTAGACTTCCCACTGAAACAGCTTTGGAAACCTCATTTACAGTGGAAACACCCCAAACCTCCCAGCATACTCAGTAATTCCATGTAAGATTTGATCTCCGTTTTGAAAAGGTCAATAAATCTGTGTTTTTAAAACAATTTACATTGTCAGTTATGCCTATCTCAACACAATATCAAACACCTGCTTTTGATTTTCCTTTATGGTTTTACTTGCATGCACAGACTTTAGGCCAAAATTAATATATAAATGGGAATAGAAAAATGAATAAACTAGCTGCATATGCTGTTTTTATAAACGGCTAAACAAAACATCTTTGCTGGTGGCTGTGCCATGATTTTTTTATTTTTCACAGAACCAGAGAATCACAGACTGGTTTGGGTTGGAAAAGACCTTAAAGATCATCTAGTTCCAACCCCCTTGCCATGGACAGGGACACCTTCCCCTAGACCACATTACTCAAAGCCCCATCCAACCTGGCCTGCAACACTTCCAGCAATGGGACATCCACAAATTCCCCAGACAACCTGTTCCAGTGCCTCACCACCCTCACAGTAAAGGAACTTCTTCCTTACAGCTAATCTAAATCTACCCTCTTCCAGTTTAAAGCCATTACCCCTTGTCCTATCACTACATGCCCTTGTAAAAAGTCCCTCTCCGGTTTTCTTGTAGCCCCCCTTTAGGGACTGGAAGGTTGCTATGCGGTCTCACCAGAGCCTTCTCTTCTCCAGGCTGAAAAACCCCAACTCTCTCAGCCTGTCTTCATAGGAGAGGTGCTCCAGCCCTCTGATCATCTCAAGTCCTTTCCGCAGGGCTGCTCTCAATCCACTCATCGCCCAGCCTGTTTTTGTGCTTGGGACTGCCCCAACCCATGTGCAGGACCTTGCACTTGGCCTTGAATTGTATTCTGAATTGTAATCATGAATTTTGAGTCACGATACAGGAATGAACAGGTTTCGCTTTGATTATTCAAAAGAGGAGCAAATGGCTCCCTTCATGATGCTGGGAAGCCAAAAGCAACTTTTCCTTGTTGTACTCCATGCTGAAGTGATGTGTAGACAAGGAATTAGGAAATATAGTGACTGTTGTCATGTCCATGCTCTCAAGATACAAGATTTTAGTGGCTGCTGTGCTGCTGCCAGATTTGTGCAAATGATTTTTAGAATGACACAAACAAATTACACACAAGACCATGGACAGATTTTTCTGTATGTAACTACGTGGACTCCAGTTTCTATGTCTGGAGTATATGAGACATAGCGGGCTGAATCATTATCAAGCAAATGACATGCAAAGTGGTATGAAATGTATCAGTCATTCAAAAAGCTTCTGGAGTAGCAAATTGCTTTCCAGAGTAATCTTTCTGACAAGAGCTATAGCTTTTTTTTCCCTCTTTTTTTTGGGGTGTGTGTGGTGGGTGTGAAGGAGGGTGGTTGGAAGAACAAAATTTTAAAGAAATCCCTAATAAAACATATTCCCCTCTTCTGCTGACAACTCCTGGCTAAGTCTGATGTATGTTTTACTTTCAGGGTTAAGACAATAATACTATTCCTTCATTTTAGAAGATTTTTGGCAGCTTTCGCATTGTTTACAACAGTAACAGAAATTGTTCTTTTAGAAGTTCTAATTCTTCTGTCATAATCTCACAATGCCTTTATTTGGCAGAGAAAAATATATTTAAATAATAAAGTGGTGACAAACTGACAAAAGCTGGAAATCAAAGCTAAATGACAATTGCCTGCACAGCGCACAATAGTGTCACTGAGACAGAAAGCCTTAAAAAACCCAAACAGGAATTTGCATTTTAAATACAATTCTAACTACAGTGGAGTGTCACTATCTGCCCCTGTAATTAATTTTCTTCTTTACCTTCATGCCTCGGACATCTGGAGATTATACATCACATCATCAGTAGCAAATCACTCCTGAGGCTTTCTTCCTAGATAATACTGTTCCCAAGCTTTATACTTCATTCCAATAGTAGGTTCTAGTTACCATATGAATGAACAGGGCTCTTTAACAAAAAATATGAGCCAGATCTTCTCCCTGTGTATCAATGGGCAATACAGCATAACTTCATAATTTCAGTGGAATTATTTCAGATTCAGAGTTTGGACCAAAGGGAGTTTTGCCTTTACACCATAAAGTGTGGGGTCATGGTTGAAGTCTGAGACATGCTTACGTGTCCACAGGACTCTCATGTTATAGGGAAAAGCAGCAGGGTTGCTGGCTACATGACACATTTTCCATCCAATTTATGCCTTGACTGTTAAATTACCAAAGAACATGGAATTCATTAATTTCCAGGAGACGATCAGTAACAGCTGCATTTAGAAGTAGGTTGCCTCAAACTTTAAAAATGTATTCCTTCCACACATTGTTTCTTCACAATTTATCATTGCCTATTAGCTAATAACAGCAGCAGGTTGTTGGTAGTTTAGTTTCTGCTTAAGAAACGATGCCACCAAATGTTAGAAGAAATCAGTAAGTTAGCTCTTCTGCTGAGAAATATGTAGAATCAAGCTCCTGTTGAGCAAGATAAGGGCCGCATTAGCTCTCAGCAGTTGTCTGGTGGTGTTTGCATTACAGAAGCAGCACATTATGCTGGAAGGTAAATGCCTGACTCAGTTTATTTGCTGCCTTGTCAGGAAGAAGAACTTCTGAAAACTTAATAGGATCATTCATGTATCTAGCAAATTTAAGATGTCTAAAGTTATGAATATTAATACTGGGCAGATGGAGGCACTTGAGCACATTAAGAGGAATGGTAAAGATATTCATAGCAACAAACTTGTTTTGATCTTACTGAATAAGGAAACAGGTATGGCTACAAAGCATTCTCTCTTCTCCCAGCCCAGTGCCCCCGGCACTGGCTGAAGACCCTAATGCTCAAACAATGCCCAGGCCAGTGCAAACTGCTGCTGGAGCCTGTAGACGCTGCCAGCCTGAGAATGACCTCTGTATTCGGATGGCTCAGGGCTGCCGTGGCAGGGAAGAAATTGGTTGCTTTCTAAAAATGTCAGCGTGGGTCTGACAGTGTACTTACTGGGATTGCTGTATCCATAGATATTTCTGTAACACAACTGTTTGGTATGTACTGAGCAGGTTTTGGCAGGTATCAGGCAAGAGTGAATGCCTGGACCTGACAATAGGTCAGGTGAGCTCTGGCCTAGGGTAATTTCATCTAGTTCAGCATTTTGTGTATTAATGCGTTTCTCATTAAACACATAGACTTTGTTACAGTTTTATAACAAACATCTGTAACTCTTGATGAGCAAATGTGAATGAAAAGCAGCAGAGAAAGGTCCATTTTTCTTTCTGTTTCTACCTGATGGCTTTTATGATTGCTGTTAGATTACTGAGAGTCTGAAGTTCTCTGGATTCTGAACTGTGCATACTTTAAAGATATAAATAGCCTTTTGTTCAAAGTGGCTGTGTTTTACAGACTGGATACAGACACTTCCGCTTGTCTTAGTGCAACAATTTCTTCTGATTTAGTGTCTATAGAATTCTTTTCTTTTCTCCTTTACCAATACAGTGCTACTTCATTTTTAACAGCAGCCTTTAGAGTGAATACAGACACAGTAACTGTATTATTCCTGTACCAAGTAATAAAACTTACCTTGTTTGATAGGCTGCCGATTAGAGAAGGTGAGAGGAGTAACAAGGAATTTGGTTTCAGCTACTTGTACCCAGTGGTGCAGAATTTTTATTGTCCAGACACCAGGTCTCAGGGGCAAATTCAAAGGTGGTTTGTAGTGAGTAAATTCGGCACTGGATTCAATAAGAATGTCATACGTTGCTGCAATTACATTAACAGGATCCACCCAAATGACAGTAACGGTGACGTTGGGGCCTTTTCCCCATTTCTGCATGCCAACTGGCTCATCTGTTGGCCCGAGGAGTCCTCCAAAATTCCGGAAAAGCCTTTCCTTGGCGTCCCATTCGGTGCCAATCTGAAATCAAAGACCACATCGCTGCTAACTTCATCTCTGTAAGCATCTAAGACCCTTACATCAAATAAGGGCTCAAGACACACAAATCATATTTCTCTAATGACATGAATTATGCATACATAAAAAGGTTGATGGCAACACAACCTAAGATCATAATGTGTACACAAATTGTGAGACAACCTTGAATGCAAGGCTTGTTTTTTTGGTCCAACTGTCCACTTTTGATTGATATAAAGGTTTTATTTATTTTAAGAGTGACATAACAGGCTGTAGCAGCTCTCCTTTTCCTCCACGTGGAAGCAGTCAATAAAGGACCAAGCCTAGTGACTGAACACAGGCTATACATAGAAAAAAATATGACCCATCATCTCCTGGGTCATGAAAATGTATTATACGTTTCAGAGACACACCCTGCAGTAGAGACCTACCCAGTTACTGCTAAGACCAAGGAAGAGGCTTTTGCTGACTTTAGGACAAGTCATATCAGGTCCTTCACTACAATCTCTATCCATGAGATGCTGTCTTCCTTGCACTCCCTTCTTGCCTGATGTGGGAAGTTATTTCTGGTAAACTCTTTTCTTACTGTCATAATAGTGACATTGTTTTTTATTTATTCACTAACTAACAGTAAAGCAGCTGATTCACAATCTAGTGTAAATATTTAATGGACCTTTCTTTTTCCTAGCAGCTTTCATATTTCAATGCTCTTTGTATGAATTTTAATGGTTCACCCATAAGCCACGGGTTGATACAAGCTTACAGGCTGTTGCCGTTAATACTTGTACACTACTGAAAATAAGCATCTCTGAACAGATAGTGTGAAAATACAGTAACTGGCCTTCTTAGGCCAACTGAAAGGCTTTTTACTGTCCCAACACTAAATCTAGCATGTGTTTATGAGGCTGACCGTTAACAAACCACTTCTGCCAATTCTCAAGAAGCCAGCCTGGTGGACCACAGTATTGAAGGCTGCAGATTTGCTTTTGGAGGAAGTGCCCACCTTGCTTGTCCCATGAGGTCCCGTTCCCATGATCCCAAATCAAAAGTGATCAATATCAAACACAAAAAGATTTGAGGGACCCCATTTGAAGTGAAGAACAGGAGAACCCCTTGGCTCCTTTTGGCAAGCAGACATCTGATGTCATTCCTTGGAGAGACATATAAATGTTTTGGCCAGCCTGGTACTGAATGCCCTCATAGTCCTTCAGGTCTTCTTTGGCCTTAATCTCCAAACAAACAGTGTAGATGACCTAGGAGTTGACTTGTTCCCTATACAGAAACCATGGGATTCTCTCAAGCAGTCTCCAGAGGCCCATGCACACACAGACAGGATCCCCTCTTTCAGCATACGTGGATACTGAAGATTTCCCCCACACAGAGCTGTCCTTGTCCCTAATCTTCACCTCACATGGGTATGGTCAGAACCTGCTTTCTGGAAAGCATAACAAATAATTGTAGCTCATTTGCTTCAGAGATTTTTCTTCTGGATTTCATCTTATTTCATAAAAGAATAAGTGGTTCCAACATAATGCCAAAATCCCCCTAAATCCGTAAAACATAACAATTACCTGATGCCTACTACCACTGATACCTATACTGGAAACTGTCCAGTCCCCAATGCCTTCTAAATAAATCACTGTGGTTGGAAGACAAATTACAGGAGGACTGCAAGCAAAAAGCTACAAGGCCAGTAGAATAAAAACCTACCGTCCTAAATCCATCTGTCATCATACAAATTCCTCCTACCGGACTATGACACTGCAGAATATGAGACAAAATGAGCCTTCCACTACTCTGCAATCAACACAGCAGAATCGCTGGTATTTCAGAGGTATTTCACCTAGCACACCAGCTAATCAAACCAGACAGTGTAGCCCAGATATCAGACCCAAGCATCGACTGCCTCGAGGAGCTGTCAGTGCGTACTCTCCTGACATGACTGACTGAATATGTATGGAAATAAGCTGAGAAAGAAAATTTCCTGACCAGTTCTTATTATCTACTCCGCCAACCCCCACCGAGTGCAGCCATGTCACACCTACTGGAGCTCAAGGGACCTGGAAATAATAAAGCCACAACATGTGAAACAAATCTATACCCTCTTGGGCAAGGAAAAGCCTATAAGGAAGCTCTTTCCACCACATTCGATATTTCTTACTGAAGAACTCCTTGAAGAAAGCTTACTTCATCCTCAAAAATTAAACATTCCTCCCTGACATCCAACTATTTCCGCCTCTTTAGTCTCTCATCCCTGGGAAAAGAAATCAGAAAGTTACAGTCCCCAGGCTCCAGCCTCCAGGTGACACTGCTCAACACCAGGCTGCGCAAAAGATGTTGAGAAGTGTTCACATGTGCAAAGGTTTATTAGAGTGGACTGTAGAAGAGCCAAGGTTGCTTTTGGGGAAAAACTGCAACAAAATTGTTGGCTGGTTTTTAAGCTTTAAGCAGGCATCTTACTGGGTTCCCTAATGTAAACCAAAAGTTACAGCCAAAGGGCAGGAGAAGAAGGGGAGGAAGGGACAATTCTCATGCTGGTGGCAATTGCTCCCCCTGAGAGCCTGTCACAACACCACTGTCAGGGTGCAACAGATCAGGCCCTCAGCAAGGCAAAAGGCAGGCACCTGGGCACCCTGCAACACCACACATGGCCCCGAGCCGGGGCTCAGACCAGACAAGGTGCTGACACCGCTTCGGGCTGCGTACCACAGGCCCCGAAGGGAAGGGAAGGGAGCTGCACACATCTATTTACAGCATCTGCCCTTTATGTCCAGTTTTCAGCTGGGGGACATACTTTTCCATGCTGCACAGTTTACAGTACAAGCTGGTTTCAGAAGCACAGTATTTTAAAGGGAATTTTACTTAAAGCACTAGTTAGAGGTTTATACATCTTCCCTTGAACTCTGCACAGCTGAGTTCCCAGTACTGAGATGTCTGATTTTACAGGCCAAGAGATACTACAGTCCTACAATATTTTTCATAGCCCCTTAAAACATTGCAAGTAGGCTTTCACTTTCAAATGGAATACACCAAGCATGGGATGGAATCAAGCAGTAATGAATATCTGATAAATTATGAAGGGATGTGGCACAGAAACTGACATTTTCCACATCATTATTTTAATCACTATGATTTGGGGTTTCAAGAGCAGGCACTGTGCACAGGGTATGTTTGGAAAGCTGGAACTCTCTCATTGGCTTAAAACCGCTGTTTCTATCTCTGTTCAGTCCCAAGATAAAATTTTCCCAAGATAAATTATGTCTTGATTATGGGTTTGTGTCTCATTGCTCACTACAACCAGGACCATTAGGTTCACACAATGCACACTAATTGCCTGCCACCTAGTTTATTTTATTCTCTGTGATGAATCACAAGTCTTAACAAGACCAGAAATGAACTTAGTTTTCAACTGATATACGGTGAGCTGAGACTTTTAGTACTGTACAGCAAATCAATCTTCTACCCTCCATGTAAAGTTGTCATGAACCCAGGCTGGTAGGATACATACTGTGTACATTGTGCACAAGCCAATTTTAGAAGGTGTGGGTGTTTCATGCTTAGAAATCGTCTCTCTTGGATTTCCTGTAAGTTTATTTTATTTTACTCAGCCCAAGACTGAGTACAGGAGCTGTGTGCCATTGAAATGCTATCATTAACCCCACTGGCCGTTAGGCAGTCCAGCCGGCTGATTTTTTTCCACTTGTCTTTACGTGGTGTATGGCAAAATCTGCTACTTGGGAAGCAAAGTCTGCGCAGCAAAGCAAAAGAGCAGAGCACAGAAGGGCTGACTGGAGAGATCCTGTCATCTCCGCTGCAATTTCAGTCGTGCATCAGGGTCACAAATATACCTGGGAGCACATTCGATGCAGCATATTTGTGCTCTTCCTGCTGGCCCTGTCGGTGTGAGCTGGGAGAGGGAAGAAAGCTCCCAGCTAAAAAGGTCCCATTCAGTTTTAAATTTCTGCCAAATCATGGGGTGAAAGTTATTGAAGAACCAGCACTTATGTGTCCCAATAAGCACAAATCTTAATTTTCTTTTCTGGTGCTTAACCTGTGAACATTGATGCCCTCATCTCAGCTGAACTGCTAAGTTTGTCTTACACTTGCTGGACTTTGACAAAGAAGTGGCATTTTAATAAGCAGTAACAGATCAGAGGGTTTCCAGCCACACTAAAGCTGAAGAGGTTAATGCTGGATTTATACCAGGGTAACAGAGAGAATAATTTGGCTCAGAGGCAGAGATGCCTGCAGGCCAAGGGAAGGCAGAAAGTAAAATAAACAATTAAGAAATGATTAAATTATTTACTTTGTACCTCCTGGTCTTTTAAAATATGAATCATCTATGAAAGGAGAGGATAATTAAAGAGTTTAGGCAAGAAGAAATAATGAAAACAAGTAAGCAGCCACTAAAACTCTTTTTGTGCATTTCAAATAGAAGAAAATGTTTCCCTAGCCTGGAAAAAGCTCACCACTGATTAAATCCTTCCCATGCTTTGCACTCACTCAGCTTCACTGCAGCAGCAGTTCCTACAGGGCTGCTTACAGACCAGCTGTGGTCTATGAGGCCATGAAGAGCAGCTCATTAGTCCCGTGGGATCCGGGGATCCTCCCTGCAGGGCGACACACTCCACAGAGCTGTGGGCACAGTGCAGCGAAGAGGCCACCCACATGCCACCACCTCCCCTGTCAGGGGAGGCTGACACCGGGCACTGCTGCTGCAGGACATCATCAGTCAGGCTCATGCTTGCCGCAGGGCTAGTTTTGGGGAAAAAAAGGTGCACTGGGGCCAGGGGGGACCTGGCAAGTGGCTAGCGAGTAAATTCTGGTCCCAGGTGTGTTTCCTTCCGTCAGCTGCAGTTGTCAGAAGTCAGACGTAGTCTTTCTAAGTATTTTTGAGTTCCAGAATACAGAGATCGATATATTTCTTTTCATCACAGAATTAGAAAAAAACTCTTCTTGCTGCCAGCTCGGTTGCTTTCAAAAGAAAGACCCAGAGCAGGCATCAGGATGAAAGTCAGATTAAAAGTACCAAATAAACAGCAGAAATACTCCTACAAATCACAAGAATTAAAGCTTGTATGACCATTTATCACTGCATGAAATGGCAAGCCTACCATCAGACACATTGATAAATGAAACACACTTTCCATCCATCTCTTTAATGGCACATTAGTGTCATGGATTTGCCATGCACACCAAAACACTGAATCCTACCTAGGCATTTCTTAATTGCCCAAGAAGATAGTAATTTATGGACTTAGCCATAATGACTAGAACACATTTGTTCAATCAATTTTATACCTTAATTGAAATTTGTGGCTTAACAAGAAAAATCATGAAATTAACTACTCAGACAGTTATATCTTTAAAACAGAACACAGATGTCAGGTTCTATTAGTGGTCAACTTTCCTGATATATTTTAGGGTACTTTTTTTACACTCTGTGTCAGATCCCGAGACAAATTCCTAGAAGAAATAACAGGATTTGTGGGGAAACCTCAGCCACCGCTGTGAGAATTTTCTCTTTTGTGTTACAACATCAATATTCTGCTCACATGTGGCATTGGTGCCTGACTATCACAAATTTTGTGAGGTTTTTTTCAGCATACTCTTGAGAGGAATGCTTACCCATACCCATTCACATCTGGAGCTGCAGAAACATGGCATTTTTCCCAGGTATCTCTCACAGCACTCACAACAATCAGTCACAAAACTTTTAAGTTACTGAACCCCTGTTACAACGGCAAATACCTTCCATTTTTTCTCAGAACAAGAGTGAGGACACTCAGAGTAACGTAAGAAGTGAGGGTTGACCACAGATCTGAACTGACAACAGTATCTCCTTCAACGAAGAGGATGTGCATTATGCTAGAGAGCCACTCTCACCTAAAAATTACATGGAAATACAGTTTCCAAAGGCTGCTGAATTAGTATGCAATCCCTCCAGAGGCTCGTGATATTGTGCATAGGTGGCTACGAATATTTACCTCTGAGAACTGCAACCTTCCAAAATCACTTGGTGGACTTGCGATCTTAAAGACTTTCTTGGGCATCACCCACGTTTCCAGAGTTTCCAGTTTACTGACAGCCAGATTGGTTGCGTGGTGTCTGATTAGGAAGCCTTGGAAACGGTCAGCAAGGAAGTAAAGGTGGACGGAAACTGGATGGCCCATGGGGTAGTATCTGTAAAACAGCACACGCACATGCTCATCAGTTACACAAGAGAGACATGAAATCTCCATTTACTTGGAGCTAATGGCTTAAAAAGCATTCATTTCAACTAGAAAATTCACCACTGTACATTAAGAGATTTCAAATGTGTTCATGACTCATTATCAAATATTCTTAGGCTGTTCCAATTACCCTGAAACATAAAAAAATGTTACTAAGAATATATGCTCATTTAGAACTTACTCGCAGCTCTAAGCTCTTTAGGAGATACCTCTGCATGCCAGAAAACTCCCCTCCCTTACCACCTCTTCTGGGTAAAAAGTGCCACCCAGAAATACACACTGTTAGGCTGCAGCACCGTTCGCTAGGATAAACGATGTTCAAGAAATGCGTCTATTGCTCCAAATCAGGTGGCCTTCTTTTTTTTGCCTTCGGCAGGGTTAGTCCCTACAGATGCCTGGCAAGGGCAGTGCCGCCCTCGCTTGCTGTGGGACAGCAGCAGGCTGGGGACACCAGAGGGTGCTGCGAGGCCGGGCACAGGCGAGCTGATGCCCCGCTCCGTTCCCCGCATATAAATCTGATCCCCAACCGATTCTCCAAGGGCAGTGCTCTGTAGCGTGCCACTGCAGCGAGGGACACCAGGACCCCGTCCCCATTTTAGGTCTCCTTTAGTTTAGCAAATAAACTTCACATTCCTTAAAGATTTGAGGTTGCTTTTGCTGTGTATTTTTTACTCATAATTAAAAATAAACTGAAAAAAGGTCAAACAAACAGGAAAAACCTCTCATCGGGAGATTTGGAAGCTTTCAGTTACAGTTCGGATTTAAAGATATTGTAGTCGTGGTTTCAAATAATAAAACTTTACGGTCAATTGTCTGCTATTGTCTCAGCAACATCCGTAATGATGTTTGTGTACATATGGATGCATAAATAATTAAAAACGTGTTATTCATAGCTCTGAAATCAAATATTTTGCTACTTCACAGCACTGACATTAACTGTGAAACAAGTGTGTTTGCAACACATGTAAAACCAACCAGCATCACACCCTCCCAGCCAAGTCAGCTAAGTCTGACTCCTCATGCTAGTTATTACATCTCAAGACATAAGCACTAAGAGGAGCTAACCAAGAAGGACTTTCCATTACATGAAACCAGCAACACCCAGAAGGAAGTCTCTAGAGCTTTAGAAATAAACATAACAAGACGGGTTACAAACAGGGCCAGCACTGATGGACTGAGCAAAAACACAGCAAAGCTACGCAGCCAATACCAGCAACAATCTGACTTCTGTTCTGAGTACTAAGGCCTCCTGGTTTATATGTGTGCAGCAGCAAATATTTACAATATCCTTGAAATAGTCTGAGTAAATTGTCTCTTGGCAGCAATGACTAAAAATGCCTAGAGTTGGAGAGAAATAAATTAAATCTCGATCACACATTAATGTTGCTTCCACTGAAGATGCTGATACACAGTCTAATTTGGTACCAGAGCAGTCTGCGGGGGGCACGGCTTTCTGAGGCTGTGAGCTAGCCCTTGTTAGAAAAGTGTGCGAGGCAGCTTCTCTTATAAAAGTCTCCTGGGCCGCTGCGGGTGGCAGCATGGGATTGACTCCAAATGTGATCCGAAGCAGTAGAGGCTTTCCTCAGAGCACCTGCAGCAGTGTGAAATGAGCTGGGGCGGTGACTGCAATATCAGCTAACTTTGTGCTGCTGTTAGCCCTAACAGCCAAGGGAATACTGTCGAGGTGCTCATCCCAAATAGATCCCTGCCATTACTGCATTAGAGACATGCAAAATCACGAGAGGGAAAGAGGAAGGGTATATATGCATACACCTAGAAAGATGACATAGTATCAAGAGAGAAGTGAGGCGAATCATAAACCTGAGGATTATCCACCCTTCTGTGATTTAAATTGCACGCTGACTCACAGTGTTTTGAGGGGGCTCAGGTAGGTATGAAAATGAAGCCTCCACTCCATATCATTGTTTGCAATTCCTCCCTGCACTGTTTCGTGAGGCTCCAGCCTACTGTAAAGGAGCTTTATCCCAGAGGCAGCTGCAATCAGCGGCGGATGACATGGCTTCCCTATCTATAATCTGAGCAAGCTTGAAAAGCACCTTGAGCTCCTGTGCAATGAAAAGCTCCCCAGAAATGAAATTGATTATTGATATAAATCATCTTCAGAACACTGACAAAAGGAATAAGCACAAAAGTAATAGTCAAATTATTTCAGTACTGGTTATACATAGCTTCCATCCTCTCTGCTGGCTTCACCCTGCAGGACAAATGACCCAGGACTTCTTTAGGTCTGCCTTTATTTCATATAAGGAAAGCATGTTACTAGTGATTATTTCTATCTAATTGTTATTGATCTTTTATTGCTTTGCACTGGTAACCTTTACTGGCAAAGCTGTAATAGGAATCTGGATCACTTATTGCCACATCTTTCTAAATGGGACATTGCTCAGCAATTCTGTGACCGAGTAGGAAGGTCAAGGCGCATTTGGTTCCCTCTTGAGAACACAAGGAGGGCAAAGTCCATCCGTCAAAGCACAAGGAGTGTCTTCAGTATTTGCTGACTTAGGCTGTATGTGTTTTCTATTAGAAAAAAAAAAAAGGCAAGGTCCAAAAAAATATATTCTGAAGAAGGAATTAAAGAGACTGTAAAGTAAGCCTTTAAAAGATGAACCCTCTCTGCTTTGAACGTAAATGGCTTCAGATGTGTTTGCAGGCAGCAAACATCTACCATGAAAAGAGCCTTTTCTGTGAAAGTCTAACTCCAGGAATTCTTCCTTCAAATCCTTTTTAGACTGAATTCTTCTTTGCTAGGCTTGTAGGTGAAAAAGGAATCTGGAATATAGGGGGGGTTCCCTTTAAAAAATAAGGACTTCTATTTGATATATATATATATATAGGGGTTTATATATATATATATATATATAGTTATACATACGTACATTTATTTGATGCTAATGGATCCCACCAGTTGCAACACTTTTGGCACAGCCAGCTGTACCAAGCAGGCAAACTTAGCTTGAGCAAGTAGTTCTCTGTACTCCATGAATGCACCCAGGGGAACAAACAAGCAAGGACCATTAACCTGCCTGTGTTCAGATTAATTCTGAAATCCTGTCCTCTGCTTTTGGTAAGCATAATAGAGGTGAACATGACCTCTGCTGCAATCACATGGAGGGTTTAGGAGCTGCAGGTATAATACACTTGCTGAAATTAATCAAGAAAACACAGCAGTGGGGGTAGCTCTGCCCAACTGGATCCTGTCAGTCTTCATCAAGCTGGAGAGGAGCTCCTTAAAAGTGCAGCTAACAGGTCACATAATGTCAACCCTGAATAACCAATGCTTTATTATGGGCATAAATACTCCTGGAAATAAGCGCTGTACACTTGCAGCTGCCGAGCCCTGTTTGTGACGGTACGCTCCAGCCAGCACAGCCAAGTGGATGAACCAGTGCTCGGCAGTCCAGTCTGTCCCCCGAGACACCCAGAAGAAGAAAGACAGACTCAGACTAACCGGCAGCTGTTGTCTCCAGCAGCATGGAAAGAAGTCTCAGCTCTCCGCAGGCCCAAGCGGGAGAATGCATGGTACATGGTGAGGGCGACGTCGCTGAGGGTGTGCACGCCGTCAGGCTCATCGTACACATTCTCCCAGTACGACCGGAGGCCGGGTGTGCCAGACGGGTAGTTGCCGTACAAGTAGTAGTCCAACTGGCCAATTATCTCTTGATTCACTACAGCTTCAAATTTGCGGGCAAAGAAAGTTGGCCTGGCAGTCTGCTGTGGTGATACGAAAGGAAAAGACACTGGAGTGAGTTCCCATTTTCAGCCATGACACTTTGTCCTTAGCAATGGGTTGGAGCTGAGGACATGAACTGGTTTGCCCCTTGGGCAAAGGTGACTTAGAAGGCCACCTTTGTGACCGTTTGTCCTTAAGAGTGTTGTTAAGATTCAGATAAAAACTACGTAATTACTCAATGAAAATGTAGGTGTGCTAATCCCTTCATACCAACAGCCCCCCCCCGCCCGCTGCCCGGCTCTGGAAAGCTCTCCCAGGTGCTGGGAGGGGTGGGAAACGCTCTCTAAGCCCCTGTGTTAGCCTGGAGACGGCGCAGCACTGGCACGTGTTATTAGTGGTCAGGCAGCGAGCAAAGCATCCTGTGGCACAGGGGCTCAGAAAAGGCAGAGCAGTACTTTGCATGTATGGATTTGCTGCTACGAGGTGGTAAGAGGACTCTGGGAGAGGTGCCATTTGTGGCTGAGGTTTCTCAGCTTCTGACTGGTCCCGTACAGATTTTTTGCTCTGCACTTGACACAATCTTGGGTATATTACGGGTTTATATGCTACCCAACTACCACTGGCTTTTAAAAAGCCTTTGTTCTGACTTGCTCATATTTGAGCATGGGTTCTGAGGGGCTGAGGAGTTCAAAAGTGCCCCAGATGGTTGAAAAATTCTTTTGAGGATGCTCAGTTTTACTCTGAGATGGTGCATGCTGTGGGCTCTCTGATCTCCTCCTCTGCAGCTTGCTTTGTGCCTCTGTGGGAACTGCGAGCAAGCCTTCTGGTGCCATGTGTTCATCTGAGGGGCTCTCTCATCAGGCAAGTGTCAGAAGTTGCCTTTACATCTATTCTAATTTTGAACTTTCCCTTGCAGCTCAGTTTACCTGATTGTTTTCTGAAATGTCGTTGTGGGTTGTTTTCCCAGCCTGGAGCAGGTCAGCCTCTGTAGACTGGCAGGAATTTTTTAAGACTTGCCATTTATTCTGTGCTGGAGACTTTCCTGGGATTGATGTTTGGGGCAGCAGAGCCTCTCTTAGATAATGTCCCATTTGCTCTTTTTGTGAGTGCCTGTGTCACTGACTTCAACCGCGCCTGGTAGGCAGCACATTACAATAAAGAAAAGATCTCTGTTTCGGAGCAGTCATCATTTTTGTGCTGTAGGGTAACACATTCCCCATCCCACACAAAGCCTGAACAAACATGCTTTATGCAGGGAACCCCGAGGAGCTGCAGGGATGGAATTGCAAATCTGGTGACCTTGAAACAAGCGGTTGTTCATTCTTAATAGAAGATACACAGGCCAGATACAGTCTTGAGACCGAGTGCACCCTTGAGCACAAGGATTTGCTCTCATGTCTGCCTTGAGGAAACTGTATCACAGAGTAACCGATTTAACTTTTTAAGGCAGTGCTGCCAAGCCTGGGTGATCGAAACCACATGACTCTGGTCCCCAAAACCACAAGATAAACTTAAACATAATCCTGTTGATGAATATAATCACGAAAATTGATTTGCCTTGTGCTACATAAGCCTCTAGCGGGCACTCTAGTCAACTTTTAAGCTTTTTTCAATGATGAAAACCACTGCTTAACAGTGAAAGCCAGGAGCTTCATGAAATCATGAAAGCATCTGAGCTGGAACTTTGGAAAAAAACCTTTGCAATAAATTCACAAGAGTTACCAAGTAATATTGGTACAGTGAGAGATGTGTCAAGCTTCCCTGCTTTCTAGCACAGCAGACCTACCAATGCCAAGTAGTCCAAAGAGCTGCTTTGTGACCTTACCACACAGTGGTAAGTCTCAAGGGCCAAAACACAGTAGAACCAATCTTTTATTCTCCTGAAATTAAGAGCAGAGATTCCTCACACCTCTTTCTCCACCTTGCTTGATGAAGTAAAAGCTTCCCTTCCCACTCCCTGCCGCAGCCATGCAGCCAGACCACTCTCCGCACCCCAGCAGAGGGGGAAGAGCTTCTCTGCGGGTATCAGGGTCTGCTTCAGTTACCTGGAATCGGTGGAAGTCTGCTGGTTTGAAGTCATTAGGTGAACAGCCACACCAGTCAACAATGTGCTTGTACTGACACTTGCAACCGAGTTTACGGTTCCAGTTTGTGATGCGCAAGTTGTTGTCCACCATGGAGTCACAGTACGGGCTATTTTCCAGAACAGTGTGAAAGAAGGACTGCAAGAAAGACAGAGCAGATCAGTGCATTCAGCTCCTCAGGCTTCCATTTTCTCCTTCACTTCAGCCCATGGGCCTGAACCTAATGCAGGTGACTTATTTTCTTTCAAAATGACAAAATTAACAAGCTCTATTGTTCTGCCATATATGAAAAGCACTCTACATGTATGTATTCCACAGAGCATGAAAAAATCACAACATACTATAGACCAAGCCAAACTGCAATAACATACAGTTGCGGCCTTGCTACAATAACCTGGCACAGAATAGTTGCACTTCTGCAATGACCAACTTTGGGCATTGGGAGTCCAGAGGACTCCAGAAAAGGCAACCGGTGCCCGAATTTTTATTTTTATTTCAGCTGTATGAGCAATTCCCCTTATTTCTCTTCTGTAAGCTACTCTCTGGTCTAATAGATTTAGGACTATTTTCCTGAGCAATGTGTTAATGATATATCTCAAGTTGTTTCCTAAGACAATTCTCAAACCTTCACCATCACCCCGGTTACTATGAAAAAAATACAGTCTCAGACAGCTCTTCTGTGGGTGTCTCTATCTCCAGCACTCCAAAATGCATTGCTAGTTGAATGGCCTTGTTCTGAAATATACAGTTCAACCCAGGCACCAGAAGGGCATTCTGCCTCCTGCAATTACATCTGAAATCATAAGTCTTTATGTGCTGACTCAAGGCAGCAAGGAATTCCTATTGGGCTATCCTAATTATATCATCATAATATCAGCTATTACATAAATCATGTGTAATGGGGACTCATATAGCAGGTTAACAGGTCAGTGAAGGCAGCGCAATTTTAAGAAACCAGATATGTATCTTGCAAAGAAAACCTTGTAGGAAGAAGCTATGGAATATGATCACATTTAGCCCTGTAAAAGATGATTTTTGGAGTAGTGACTTCTCTTTAAAATCAGCAATAGTAAGACCTATAAATACCCAGCACAACATTAGCACGGCTGGCCCCCAAATAATCCCCCTACCCTTTTTAATGTTAAATGACAGCCCAGTGAATATGGATTTTATGCTTGAACTGTTTGGTTAAACCCATAAAGGCATCCATTCTCAGTCAAGCGAGAGGAAAAAAAAACCCTACCCAATTACACGTTGCCCTGTGTCCTTTTATAATGATACAGAAATTTCTCCTAGATAATGGATGAAAAGGTTATCAGAGTTGAGACAAAAGGTGATTTTTAACAGAAATGGGATTAAAGCAACATTATTCAACATGTGTGTGGAATAATAAACCCGTATCAAAAGATGACAATTGCTGTGTTCTATTGCAAACTAATAAGCCTAGATTTGCAAGATCAGTCTCATAAATCCCTCAAAATGTTCAGGGGCCACTAGCAAGGAAGTAAGTTATTGTTCTAAAGACAGTCATCAGGTCTTGCCTTGGGATGGCTGCATGCTATGCCTGGGAGCAGAGCCCGACAAACCAGGGGAGCAAGGTACCTGCTGAGGCAGGTGCAGCACAGCCTGACAACCCGCCAGGCTCTGTGCTCCATTTGTAGATAACGCACATCTCCCCGACACACTGCCGCATGCTAGACGAAAACCCATCCTGGTGTGCACTCCCCTTCTGCATCACTTGTGGCCAGAGCGATTCCTGAGTGATCTAAATGATTTGTGACTATGCCTTCTAGCTGAGTTTTGAACGGAACAATAAACCTTTGTTTGTAGGGTTTTTATTTTTAAAGAAAAGGGCTGGATAATAGCGAGGAAAGCTACTTATGAAGACAATTCGCCATTTCTAATAGCCTTCAAAGGCTTTGTGGAGGAACAATTTGCGAGCAAAGGGCAGCTGGACTTTTGGTTGTTCGGTAATAGATTAATAGGCTTAAAAGTATAAAACAAAGCCACTCCTTGCAAAAAAGTCCCACAAACAAACAAAGCAACTAAACAACTGCAAAAGTTGTTCTAACACTAAAGGACTTACTCGTCATGGGAGTAAAATTCTCATTACCCACTGTGGGATGATCCAAAGCCCACCGAAATCAAGTGGAAGCCCCTCTGACTTCGGTGACCTTTGGGACAAGCACAAATGTTGCAGTTTTGAACACAGAGAGGGATTGCTTTGAATTCACATACCTCAGCAGGAAGTAACGTGTAAGAGTAAAATCTCTTCATCTTTGTTACCAGGTCATCATTAGAAAAAGTGACATACTCCACAAACTTCCTGTTCAGGAGAAACCAGTCCGACCCTCCATCGACTGCGATTCCTTCTGGGATCCTCCGGTCCCCCAGGCGCCACATGTGGGTATCACATTCTAGGAAAAGTCGATCCAGTCCTTGTTTTCTGATAAATCTGAGGGAATACAAAAGCAGTCATTAAAAGTTAATTTGTATTTTGTTATCATCACTAGCTCTATAAATAAAGTAGCTACTTTCTCAAACAAAAAAGGATAAAAAGGTCACTTGTTTATATTTCTGTTCTACTCATAAATAATGTAGAGAGGTTTAATAAATCATTAATCAGTTATACGTTCAGTTATAGAGGCAAAGATCAACAGATTGCTTTTAAACATCATTTACACCTTCTGCTGTCCTAAGACAGAACTGTGCAAGTTACAGAGCTGTATGGCAGGAAAATCCATAACGTTCATTAACTCTTAACAAACCACTGCAGAAGAACCATAACATGAACAGGAACTAAACAGAATCTGTGTGATAGGCTTCTGTCTCTAAATAAATGCACAGTTTTTGAAAAACAGCAAACCGTACATAAAGGTAAAACGACCAATTTTCTCCTATGTTATTATTCCATGAATTTTTCTATTGGAGTATTGTTAATTAGGAAGAAATACAATTGCATTGCTCTTTGCTGTAGAATGAGTATGTGTGCTCCATTTTCAAGTCTATGGGGAACAATGTTTTGTTATTGCTGAACCATGAATAAGAGGATCAACTGCAGAACTGTAAAGTTATGGAAATGAACTATTTGAGACCAATATAAGAAGAAAAAGAAGAGTTTGAAAATCAATCTATGTTTGAAAACACTTTGGACTGGATGCCCACACATGTTTTGCGACTGGCTGATCCAGGTTTCTATTCGTTATTCCATTTTCAGAATTATTTCCCAGAAAGGGAAGCAGGGCAGCCATGAATTAGCACAGGCCTTCGCATGGGGGGCTGAGCGCTGTTAACAACGCTGAGTTGCTGTGTTGAATACATGCTGCATGTTCTGAGCGATAATAAATGCTAGCTTACCAGACTGTTATAGTAACTAACATCCACAAAACCACAGATCTCACCGGATGCAAGAACTGCAGGCTAACAAAAGCTGCGGCACCTACGCTGAGGAGGACACTGTAAGACCTGGGTTTCCTTCCTGAATGACACACCAGGGTTCTTAGAAATGTTTTAGGATTAGGAAGTCAAGAAGACATTTTAGTGGTCCTCAAACACAGGCAACTAAAGGAAGGGGAAAAGAAATAAAAGTTAAGGAACACCACCAAAGCTTTCTGGACTCCTGCATCTGGTAACTTGAGCGTTAACTCCGTAGGCTAACTCTCTGGTTAAAGTTTTCTCCTATACCAATCAAAGAGCTGAGACGCAATTACAAAATGGTGCATATTAATTTTCAAAAGGACTGTAAATGACTTCAGGGTCTATGTCCTACTGATAGCTATGTCTCTTCTCACAGTATGAGAAGTAGAGCTCCTCTGTTAACACAACAGTGCAGAAAATGTGTAGATGAGAGTGGAGAAATTTTTCTTTCCATGAACAAGTTTCTAATTTCATGTTCCATTATGAAGGATAATAGAAAAGCCTTGCAATTTTAATGCAGTGCTCTGGAATGTAATCTTCAAATTCAATATTTATGCAGTTATCTCCAAATCAAATATTAATGTGCCTGAAAGTTTGGTCATTTATTTATTTCCCTCAAAACTAAATGCTCATTTGAGTTAATTATTTTAAGAAAATAATAGAATTTTATCGACCATATTTAAATAGGAACGTAAAGTTCTTTTCCATTAAATAATTTCTTTCAACTGCTATCTCTACCAATTTATCACCCTTTATTCTCATTTTCAAATAGAAGTTTCCTTGACTGCAATAGAAACCCCCAAATAAAAAAAACCCACCCGACCATTTAAAAAACTCCTCTACTTACAAACTCCCTCAGCCTTTATTACATGATAGGGCTTACAGTTAACTAATACCAGTTACACAACTTCAGCCTTATTGTCTGAAATCGGCAATAGAAGAGTATGGCCACGCTCAAGATGAGAAGGTGCCAGCAAATCTGGGCTCACAGCTTCAACATTACCCAAAATGGTTGACGGGCTCCTTTTCGGTATACATACACAGTTCTGTGGCTTTTTTGAGCTAATAGCTTGGACAAGCAAATCTCGGTGTATAGAGTGAAATAAGACAATTCTTGGGAGCACAAGTGTTTTCACAACAAATCTCAGTCCTAAAATCTTACACAACAAGGTTATTAGAAGAAAACTAAATGTACTTTCCAACCATTCATCCTCCAGCAAGGCAGCGCTGCCCAACTGAAGAGCAGCAACACCTTTGGAGACCTGCAAAGAGAGGACCCTTTTGCTAATGCTTCTTGAAACCTTCCTAGAAAGATCACATCAGGTTTTAAATACCAGTAACAACCAAATAGGAAGCAGGCATTTTTCAGAAGGTTCACCTTTACTGGACCTGCTTCACACACAGTCATTACACCTAAACCAAATAACACATTAGCATAGCAAATAATTTCCTTTTATCTATGAAGCAATAATTTATACAAGGGGCTCTGAAGACACAGCTCTTCACTGGGAAATTGCTTGCTATCTGTAAATGTTCCTTGGGAGCCAAGGGGACCGAGTATATTTTAGATCTGCTGGAAGCTAGACGATCCTGCCTGAGGAGGCAGTGGGTCGCCCTAGCAAGCCTAGGCTGTACTGCTGGCACACAGAGAACTGAACTGCAACCAAACTGGAAAAGATGGATGAGGCTTTTTTTTTCTCTCTAGATTCTCTTCTAGGATGACAGATGCTCCTAGCTACTCCAGCAATAGCGATTTTGGCACTCAGGGAGGCAAAAACTTACTATAAGCATATTGGATACTGCCTGAGGGAAAGGGAAAGGTGTTATTTGTATGCGACGTAGGCCTTTTCAAGAAATCAAAACCCCTCAAACACTACAAACAGTTCATAAAGACTCTTGACTAGCCATCCAACAATGCTCGCAGCAGCCACCTCTGAAAAGAAAGATAGAAGATGGAGGGCAAAAGCATGACCCTACTGATTTGTTTCTAGACTTATGCTGTATTTCATTAGTTTCTGGTTATGCTCAATGTAATACCAAACCAGTGTATTTTATGAAGGCATGCCAAGCTTCAGAGAGAGTAATGAAATACAAAAAATGGTGATTTCTCCCTTAAGTCTTTCTCTCAGGTTTCACAAGACACCTAGCAGATGACACCCAAATTAAAGTAGAAAAAATGGATTGATAATAGCATTTCATTAATCTTAGTCAACGTTGAAAAATTTAGGTTCTTCCTGGCACCCTGAATTTCAGGTAAGACTGGCACACCTCTGACAACTGCAAATGTACTTGCCAGGATAACGACACACAATTGCACCACAGTATGGTTAGCCAAATACAATGGAGATCGCCATCAGATAAAGACACTTGACCTTTCTCCTGATCTAAGACAAACAACAGGAGGAAAATAACGATGACAAGAAAAGAGAGTCAACCAGTAGAAAATAAAATTAAAATAAGACTGGGGTTAAGAGAAAGCATGCCATTTTACCTTATTTCATAGAACACCCCGTCTAAGACATTTTATACTTACCCTTAATCAATTTTAACTCTTCCTAAAGAGCCTCCAATTTGAGGAACCTGGATTACACTTGCAAGTAAGCAGCAAGCATAGCATAATATGAACGCATCTTGCCAGCTGAGCTCAGCAGTCAGGGAGCTACACATGTGAAAGGGGCCGTTTGCGCCCTGACTATGCATGGATGCAGCCTTAGGGTTTACACGCCTCTGGGTGGTTATTTTTTACTTTGTTAAAAAGCCTACTGCCTGCAGCACATGGTCTGTAACACTGAGTACAGATAGTTAACTGTCCAGACAGCTCATGATTGCAATCCAGCTCACAGAACTCCTCTTACTTTGTAGTGTATTTAAATATTTATAATTGCATTTGAGATGAGACTCTAGGATTGTATAACACATAAAGCATTTGTAAGATGTTTAGCACACGCTCCTACAACATGAATATAAACACATAGCTCAGCTCTTCTTACGATATGTTTTAACTACTAATAAATATTGTTGCACAGTTACTTAATACCAGCAAAAATATCACAATCAAATATCACCCTTTTGGATAGTTTTCTCCAAGTGACACTGCATACCACAGCAACTCTGAGAGGCCCCCTCTCTTGAATGCTCACACTTACGCAGTACATAAGACAGAGAGTTCGCTGTTTTCCGAAGTCTATGAATGAATAAAACTTTCTTAAGCATCAGAGGCTATCAGATTGCTAAACATTACTTCTAATTCGTCACTAAAAGGTTTTTGTCTGGAAAGAATGTATTTCTTGAGGTGAAAAGGTTTTTTCCTGAATGTTTCCTGTTTCTGGCCTCTTGCCTACAAAACCTCCTATCGACATTTCACTGCTAACCAGGTGCACCCACCAGGACCTCATCATTATTACTCAGTATAAAAGGTAAAATCTATGAATAAAAGTTAACAATGTGTCAGCAAAACAACTCATCACAAGTTGAAAGTCAATGTCAAAGCAAGGGTCTGCAGAGCTTGGGAGTTGGAGCTCCACTAGCACCACGTCCATGCTCTCCTTACTGGATGCGGACAAACTCTGCACATTGCTTTGACTCCATCTGCTCCTCTTTCAACTATCTTTAAACAAAGATTTGAAGAAGTCAGCCACTTTTGGTGGGAAAAGTCAAGTAAATATTTTTATGGATGAGAAATATGAGAGGCTCTTGCCAGCAGTGTTTGCACAGCCACCTTGGAAACACTTACCAGAGTCAATCAGTCGGGAAGCATAAAACAATAACTTGCAATTTAGGTGACCAAGTAGAAAGCGCAGAACAGTAATTTGACAATCTTGAGTGTAACAATTGCAACAAGTAATTTGTGAGCAATCTCTAGGCTACAATATATCTCCATAAACCAGTCACTGAATAATTCTTTGTAATAAGCAAGTTCATAAAACCCAAACCTGCACAGAGCAGTTTCATTCCCTGCCCGCTGCAGGCCAGAAATCCTGGCCTCCATTGAGTATGCGATGAATTTCCAGTTGACTGCGACATAACCTTGACTTCATC